CACCCCTCTTTTTTTTGTATGTGTGTGTATGCAGGATATAATTCTAGTTTGTAGATAGATTCAAAAGCCTATAGAATTGGATGTATTCGTCTATTGTAGACAGATTTCACATGATTTATATGCAGAACCTCATCAAATATTGAAGTTTGGATGCGATACAGATTCCACTTAATCATTCTTCTCATTGTTGTCAGCATTGCAAAACCTTAACTTGGATGTCCATTATGCTTACAAACCAACCGAAGCAGAATTTTAACTTTGTTGTTTCAGCTTGTGAACTAATTTCATTCACGTAGTTTCTCAAGCTTTATGTGTGAATTTACATGATCTTCGAACCAGTGGTCCAGAATTGCAAATTCCTTGTTCATCAGGCATATTCATGGTTGAAGTTGCTGCAAGGGATTCAGCATCCTTGTCACCAGTGCTCCCTAATCACTACTGCCATAAATTATGATATATTCTCAGCCCTGAATTGATAGCTCATGTGGTGTTCTCTTAGCTCTGGTTTATTTTTTGCAAACATTGTGAGTTTAAGGCGAGTTCTCCCATTGCTCTAGAATTCATCAGATATGAGCGCTGAAGCAATTCTACCATCTCAACCTTATAAATAAAGGAGCTTCCGCAAGTGTTTTTTTTTTTTTTCTTGTTTGCATCAGAAATCAAACGTTGTTTGTGCACCTAGTCTTATAAATTCTTCCTGCAGCTTTTCAGTGTTGTTATTGAAATAGACTTCACTAAGCCTGATTGAGTTATTGGTGAGCTCGCCTGTTTCCATTAATTAACATTTATTCTTATTGCAGGGTTGCAGATTTCTTTAGATGATCTGAATTCTCTTACCATAATACTTTACAAGCCTTGGTGCTTGACGAGTTTTTCTTAAAGGTCATGGTTGCTGTTTTTAACACGTCATCAATTTTGGCAAGCCATAAATTTCTTAACATTGTAGCATCACTTTTCTTTAGCTCTTGATCAAGGTAAGTTCTTATTCTCTCCCTTTTATCATTACTTTTTTAGGACATATAAATATCATGGGATTTATAATCTTGTTCCCCATCTCTTCTTTCAAATATGCATCTAATTCATGTATTTTTATGTCTCTCTTTTCTTTTTAAATGGTGCTTTTCAAGAATTCTTCTTCTACTACTAAAAGATTCTTAGTAATTGATGAGAAGTATCGTCAGACAAGCCTTCGCGTATATGAACCTGCCATTGGTTCATTTGCTAAGAAGCAGTCTTCCGAAAGCATCAAGCATTTGACTTCCTGGTCATTGGAGACTTCTTATGAACTTTATGGTCATGATGGTTTGCCTCAATCAGTTTTACAACTTCAATCCTCCTTTCCACATTCAATAACTTTTCTAGCTGATCTGCCGTCATTAGACTATCATAAACATGATGGAAATGCTACTTGCAAGGATTATTTCCTAATCTTCGATGCACTTGAGTATACTCCCAAGTATTGGGAATGGACAGAAGATATTTTGAAACATTATGAGCCAATCCTCGAGAGGACACATATTCGAGACACTATTTTTGCATCCCTTTTCACATATGACTGGCAGATGAATGTTATCCTTTCTTTCTATAACCACTGGAATCCTGCTACCAACACGCTATCTACCCCGAATGGCGAGGAGTCTATATCCCTTTGGGAGTTAAAATCATGTAGCGGTCTTCCTATCTTTGGTACTTTTTATGATGAAGTCATCCCTTCTACTGATGAACTTAATGAAGCTGACAAGAAAGGATGTTATTTTCTTCTAAAGAGTTGCAAGTACCTATTTATCGCCTTTCATAAAGAATGTCAGACCATTGATGGTGACCATGTAATGACCCTTCAAGATTGGGTAGATTTCTGGTTTCGAGATGATTTGAGATACAAGGTACCGTTTTTTGTGGGTAAGTCTAGCGAATCCAATAAGACTACCTATCCATCTGGCTCAATTGATAAGTCTCGTGTTCGTTCCAGTAAATTCATTCATCCTTTTAAAGAGCTTAATATCCCTTCTCATATTCAAGATGAAGTTTATTTAGCGGCTTTTCTTTCATGTTGGCTATGCAAATTTGTATTTCCTAGCAAGGATGTTGGTTTCATTCGTCCTAGTACTTTCAAAGTAGCATCCATGATGGCGGTTGGAAGGCAATTCTCTCTTGCGATACCAGTTCTAGCAAGTATCTTCAAAGGTCTAAAGGAAGTCCAATCTGCATTAAGTGTGACTGCACGAGACATCCCTTTTCCTATTCATTTTCTCAGTAGTTGGCTTGCAGAAAAATTTGGCACCCATCAAACAGCCATTAGTTCTGCCAAGTTAGTTGGGATGACAAAATATACTGGCGTGGGGTTGGCAAAACATTTCAATAAATCTCAAGCTAATGCTCTTTTTAGAGATCCCAAGAGAGTCATATTTCCTGCATTACTTCCCCTGGCCAAAGTTGTGGTCTTGCGTGATGATGGCAACTTATCAGTTCTCAAGAGTGACTACTTTATATGTATTTGATCCGACTATTTGACTCTTCGTTATGATGATACTTTTATTATTGAGTCTTACTGTCCTAATAGATTCAGTAGACAATTTGGGTTTTGCCAACATGTTATTCGTGACTTTGAAAGGAGAACTAGAGTTCCAACTTTGGAGGATGTATCCCAACTTTGGCATAGTTTTACCAAACTCAACACTTATTCTCAGTGCAAGCTTCCTTTGCCCCCAAGTGATAAACTTCCTTTGGTGACTAAACGTTACATGGACTGGTGGACTCCGAAGTGGTCCAAAGTTTGTTCTCCAGAGGTAAAGATCATTCTCAAAAGTCCTGCTAATATTGCCATAGTATCTCGAAGGACAAAAGAAAAGAAGAATGACCCTCTCTTAACTAAAAAGAAACGATCTTCTCCTACTTGTAAAAGAGATAAGCGGACAGTTGACGTTGATTTAGGCAAGGAAGATGGTACTCAAACATCTACCCACATAAGAAGGACACCACTTTTGATTCCTAGTGTGAAGAAAGTGAGTACTTTAAAAGATCATCTCAATAAGAAATCCTCTAACTCCTCAAAGGCAAAGGAAAAAAGTGCACAATCCTTTTCTCCATAATTGGTAAATAAATACTTGTCCCTTTTTTTATGTGCCTTATTAATTCCTTTTTTTTTTTTATTGAGATGCTCATAAGGATATATATGTAGCAGGAGAAAGAAGACAATTTTGAAGCAATCTTAAATGTTGAGGACAGTGAGCATGAAAACAGTGATCATCATTGGAAACGTTTAAAACGTACCAAGAAAGTGTTCAATCCTTGCGGCTCGGGTTTTCTTCATGGAGTCCCTAGTGCATCAATCATGCCAGACAATATTGATGAACTGGTTTGACACCTTTTTTTTTCAGTTCATGTTACTTGTCATATATTAACCCCCCTCTTTTTTTTTCATGTTTTAGCTTGGTCAACAAGACCTGGGGAATGACTTTGATATGTATATTGGGCCAGAAATGAGTGTTGCTTCTATTGCTAGCCCTAACCCTTTCAATATTTTAGCTGCTGGGATTGGAAACTCTCATCCTTCATTTAGTTTACCACATGAGCAACCTAATCCACCTCCGCCGATCTTTAATATAGTGACCAACTTGCAAAATATTGGACCTACTATTATCTTTGAGCCTTCAGGAGTTACTAGGTATTGCGCTGATGACATAATAAGAGAGATAAGATCTGAATTTGTTATCAAGTGTTGGGAGAGCATCAGAAATAAGACTGTTCGTACACCGATCCATTATATTCCTAACCTGGCTGGTGAAGTTGAAAAGATCCTCCACTACATTGAAGATATAAAGGTTGATTGCTCCTCTATCAGAAGAATGGTGACTGAGGTGATTGAGGATGCTAAAAAGTTTATTCACTTAGAGTCTTCATTATCTCCTATGATGACATCAGAGCAACGAGCCTTAGATGTTGAAAAGCTTGAAGTGCAACTTAAAGATTCAGAAGCTTTTGAAGACGAGGCATCTAGATCCATTTCCACCACTCATGTTGAGATAACAAAATAGCGGAACAATTAATGGAGCTGCAGAGTAAGAAGACTGAGTTAGAGTCATCTCTTAAGGCGCGTGATGAAAAGCTTTTTAAGAGGAAAATCATCACCTCCAGCATTCGAGCAGAGATCACCATACTATCCTCTTCCCCTGTGATAAGTGAAACTGATGCAGCCATTCTTCAAAAATTAAAAGGATTGTTGGAGACCAAACAAAAGGAGTTAGAAGGACATAGCTGGAAACCGTAGTATGATAATGGTTTCTTATGCTTTGGAATTTTTTTGTTTTGGTAACACCAGCTTGTGACTTTCTGTTGAGGCTACATACTTTATGTAATATAATTCTTCTTTCTATTAATAAAGTCTATATTTTGCCTTCACTTGTGTTTTGTTACCTGGATTTTCTTGTTATGATTGTGTTTTGAGGTTTATTTATCCCTCTTTTTCCATGTGAACAATCATATTGGCTCAAATAGCTTTTAAAGGATGATGTGCGACTGTACTTAGAATAAATTCTAAGTTGCCTACGTACCTTTATGGATAAAGGATCAAGTCACAACGTAGTTCAAAACATTTGTTTTTGTTTTTTTTTTATCAAAGACTTTTTTTTGTGACTGTACTCAGAATGGATTCTGAGTTGCCTACGTACCTTTATGGATAAAGGATCAAGTCATAACGTAGTTCAATTTTTTTTGTGTCTTTCATAGTTTTAGCTCGTGCGAGCCAGGAGCTACATCAAATTTCAATTATAGTATCTTTTCAAGAATTTGCCGTTAATAGGCCCAATCCTCAATCCATTCTCATCGACAATTTTGTAAGCTCCATTGGTGTAGACTTCTTGAACCACATAAGGGCCATCCCATTTGGAAAGGAATTTGCTACTCATGCGCTTTGACATGATTATTGGGCGTCGTACTGCCAAGACAAGATCTCCTTCTTGGAATGAGCGTGGTCGCACCTTCTTGTTGAAAGCCCTACAAAGTCATGCTTGATAACATTCTAATCGTTGTTGTGCCTCAAAACGTTTTTCATCTAAAGCTTTAAGCTCTTCAAGGCATAGACGAACATTGTCTTCATTGGAAAGTCCTTCTTGGATTGCGATTCTCAAAGATGGAATTTGACATTCTAGTGGAAGAACAGCTTCGACCCCGTATACCAAGGAATATGGAGTAGCTTGAGTTGGTGTTCGGAATGTAGTACGACAAGCCCATAACACTTTCTTGAGAATGTTGCATAAAGTCTTGTTAAAGGCTTCTGCCAAGCCATTAGCCGGAGCATTGTACATAGAAGAGTTATGTTGTTTGAAGCTGAATTGTGCACACAACTTGTTCATGGCTGTATTGTAGAACTCCTTTCCATTATTGGTTATGATGTATCTTGGTACCCCATAACGGTAAATGATGTTTGTTTGAATGAAGTTTACAACTGTCTCTTTCTTAACCTCTTTTAATGCTGCAGCTTTTGCCCACTTTGAGAAGTAATCTGTTGCAGCCAATATGTAAAGATGCCCGCTAGAGCTTTTCAACAATGGTCCTACCACATCAAGTCCCCAAGCATCAAAGGGCTAAGAGGCAACTGTCGGGTGTAAAGGCTCGGGTGGCTGATGGATCAAATTAGCATGCAATTGACAACTTTGACATTTTCTAGCATAGTCTATGCAATCCTTCACCATTGTTGGCCAGTAATATCCCATTCTTTTGATCCGGAAGTGAAGTTTAGGGCCTGATTGGTGTGCTCTATAAATCCCTGAGTGAGTTTCCTCTAGTGCTTTTGTTGCCTCTTCTTCTTCGAGACAGCGCAAAAAGACTCCGTCAAAAAAACGTCAGTAAAGAGTGCCTTGAAAGTATATAAAACGAGAAGCTCTTCGCCCCACCTCTGTCTTATGGCGTAGGTCTTTAGGTAGCTTTCCATGTCTCAAATAATTGATAAGTGGCTGACGCCAGTCTTCTTTTTCAATCTCGTAGACAGAAACTACACCACTTGTTCTTTTTCTTCTATGTCATGATTTAGCGGTGGAACGACCCATCTTTGACATACAGGGACTTTTATCTCCTTAGTACATGATGCTAATGTGGATGCAAGATTTGCTAAGGCATCGACTTGCTTATTCTCTTTTCGTGGCACATGTTTTAAAGTGACACAATCAAGTGATGTTATCGGTTTAAGTGCATACTTGTGATATGGGATGAAATCTGGCTTCTTGACTTCATATAGTGAGAGGAGTTGTCTGATGATTAATTGAGAATCCCCAAAAACTTTAAGGCAAGACATCTTTATATTCACTGCCATTTCCAACCCAAGAATCAAGGCTTGATATTCGGCCATGTTATTAGAACAACATTCGGTAAGTGAAAAGGAGAAAGGCAAGACCTCTCCTTCTGGTGTGATGAATATAACCCCAGCCCCGGCTCCATCTTGTCGTGCTGCGCCATCAAAGAACATTTTCCATGGTTCTGACATTTCAATAAACAAAACATCCTCATCAGGCACGTCTTTAGAGAACTTCCATTCATCGGGAATAGGATGATCAGCGAGAAAATCAGCTAGTGCTTGCCCCTTGAAAGCCTTTTGTGAGACGTAGACAATTTTAAATTCTTGAAGCAATAAAGCCCATTTTGCCAATCTTCCTGATAGTACTGGCCTTGAGAGGGTCAGCTCGGGAGATTAGTCTTACTGAATGCGCTTGGAGGTAATGCCTTAGCTTCTTTATTGCAAACATTAATGCTAGACATGTCTTCTTTATTGGAGAATAATTCAGTTCAGCCCCATTTAATGTTCTACTAAGGTAGTAGAGAGCACTTTCCTTGCCTTCATCAATTTGTTGTGCCAACAACACCCTCAAGGAACGTATTTGAGCTGCAATATAGAGGATAAGTGGGCGTCTCGGTACTGGTGCTTGAAGGATAGGCGGTTTCAACAAGTATTTTTTTATCTTGTTGAAGGTATTAGTACAAGCTTCATCCCAATAGAATGACGTATCCTTCTTCATTAAGTGGGTGAATGGTTAACATCGACCCGCTAAGTTAGAAATAAATCTTCGTATATAGGCTAACTTTCCTTGGAGACTCTTCAACTCATGGATGTTTCTTGGCTCCGGAATTTTTAGAATGGCTTCAATCTTAGACTAGTCAATCTCAATCCCTCGATGTCGAACTATAAACCCTAGGAATTTGCCTGATGACACACCAAATACGCATTTTAATGGGTTCATTTTTAGCTGGAATCGACGTAATCGTTCAAATACCAAACGAAGATCTTGCAAATGATTTTCTTTTTCTTTTGATTTCACCACGAGGTCGTCAACATAGCATTCAACATGTTAGTGAAGCATATCATCAAAAATCTTCTGCATCGCCCTTTGATAAGTGGCACCAGCATTTTTTAAGCCAAAAGGTATAACTTTATAGCAATATATCCCTTTCAGAGTTCGGAAAGCCGTCTTCTCCTCATCTACGGGTGCCATTCAAATTTGATTATAGCTAGATGAACCATCCATAAAGGTTAATCTCCCATGACCTGTGGTAGCGTCAACCATGATCTCGGTAATTGGAAGTGGAAAGTCATCTTTGGGACAAGCATTGTTAAGGTCTCGAATATCCACGCAAACACGCATTTGGCCATTCTTCTTTTTTACTGGCACAATATTTGAAATCCATGTAGGATACTTGACCTCACGAATGAAACCTACTTGGATAAGTTTATTGACTTCAACCTCAATCTGTGATATGAGTTCAGGACGGAAGCGACGTTGAATTTGTTTTACAGGTCTAGCCCCATGTTTTACTGCTAGTTGGTAGACAGCAATCCTTGGGTCTAAACCTGGCATTTCATCATAAGACCAAGCAAAGACATCTCGATACTCCATCAAAAGTTCCATATAATTTGCTTCCTCTTCAGGTGATAGGTTTGCATTGATAAAGGTAGGTAGTGGGTTTTCAACAGTTCCCAAGTTAACCTCTTTAAGTTCATCCATTGTAGGCTTACTTTGTGATTCAAGGGAAGGCGGAGCTTCCTCAACATCTTCTTCGACGACAAACTTATCATTATCATCTTCTTCAATTGTGATGTGATTTGAAGTGAGACACATTATTTCATCTTCCTTTTCTTCATTATAGGGGTTTGTTATCACTATTGTGCGTGTTTTTCCTTTCAATGTCTCCTCAGCACTCACTACCCATTCACATTATCTCTTCATGCGTGAAGGTATTTTGCTACGAAGAACCTTTAAATCACTCATCGGACTTAATTGATGATCGAGTGTAATCTTGTCATCTTTTGACATGGATTGTCCAAGTCTTGCAAAGACTGATGTGCATTTTAGCGCCTTTCCATTATTTTGGGTTCCAATCCTAGTAAAAATAGGAGCACGACTTGTAGTTCCACCAAGACGATCCCAGACTGAAGCTCTAAGAGGTGCCAACTGATTTTGTTGTTTGTCCTTTACTTCTTTCGCACTTATGTATTACGAGGCTTCTTTATTAATCTGAAAATGCAGCGATGTGGAAGACTCGTATCCAAGACCAGCCCTTAAAGTTTTGCCATAAGTTTTCTTCTCTCTCGATGCCTTTCTAGTCCTTGTAGAAACTTGTTTACCTTCAAGTTGAGTAGTATCACCATCCTTTGCTAACTTATTGATGTCCTCACGACTATAACCAGCCTTGGCTAAAAGCTTATAAGCATTGGGATCAACGTCATTCGCCCGTTTATTAGGGAGTCCTCTAGGATTTATCACTACCAACTCAGTTTGATAAACGAACCCTTTTAATAAAGGTTTTGAGACCTTGTTCAAGGCGAGATTAGTAGCTGGCAAGGTCAAGTTTTCAAGCCCCTTATTGATCTTCTCTTCATCCTTGGAAAAAGAAGATTGACCCTCTTTTCTTGCTGATACTAGGATATATCGGAGTATTGTGGCTTTACGTGGTAGCTTATTGTCAACAAAGTTTTCTACCACCTTTTCTTTTGCAGATAACTTATGCCCTTTTAAGCTTTTGGAGTCAATTTTTCCCTCTTCTAGATGGTTAGGTGGGGATCATAGCTCTTCAATCACATTTGACTTGAAATAGAATTTTGCGTCTGCAAAGTGAGCTTCAGCTATGGTGAAGGGGTCGGTGTCCACAATTATCTTTCTTATTTGTCCATCTCGGCAATACTTAAAACATTAGTAGAGTGTTGAGGAGATGATACCATTTTCATGCATCCATGGTCGCCCAAACAACATATTATAAGTAGTTTTGGCATCTATGACATGGAAAAGTGCATTGGATTCCATATCTTCCATGAAGTTTTACCCTCCTTGATTAAAACCTTGAATCATCAGATGACTTGGGAAAAGTTCATCCATAGGAATCCCTAGCTCTTTCATAGTCTTAAGAGGTAGTATATTGACCGTTGAGCCATCATCCTCCAAGATACGATTCACCATCTTTTCATCAACATATCCTTTAATGAAAAGATGTCGATTATGGAGTTTTGATCCAAGCAACAAGTCTTCATCGCTGAAGGATATCTCTATTGTGCATACACCTTGACATAAATTTGAAAAGTCATCATAACCTTCCTTCATTACAGGTTCAATATGAGTTTTCTCTTCATCAACCTGATAGCAAGTAACAAGTACATTTTCAACTCTTCTCATCTCTATTGGCATGTACTCATTCAGTGTAATGGGCTTTCTTAGACTTTGCATTGAAAAGCTCTCCTTTCTAGCTGGCATGGACTTTCGTTTAGTTTTTCGGCATATCGGCTCATCAATTAGCTTCCTCACCATTGACATTCTTATTCTAGTTGGCTTTGTCATATGCATGTGCTTCTTTCTTCCTCTTTTACGCGTGACTAAAGTCCATCCTTCATAATCATAATTTTCAGACGAATCAGGCTTCCAGTTTTCAACTTGAGGTGTGAGGGTTATGCATGGAGTTAGACTTGAGGATGCAGCAAAGCTCATCGGGAAAATGGCATCAAGTCTTATAGGTTCAAAGGAGCCGAAACTTATTGTAGGGAGTGATTGACATGGTCCTAAATTGACCGTGGTTATGATATTAGAGGCTGTTATTTCATCATCAAAAATAATATCTCCATTCTCGTGTAGCCTCATGATCTTGTCTTTTAACACAAAACACTTCTCTACAGGATGACTGATTAAGCGATGATATTTTCAATAATTCGGATTATCTACTTGGTTTGCTTCTTCAGGGCATTTCACCTCTAGCAACTCAATGATATTTGCCTCAAGCAGATCATCTAGCATCTTAGATATGTCTGAGTTGGGGAATGGATACACTTTTTCTTGTTGCTCTTTCAAGGATGGTTTCTTTCTTTCACCCTTTTGAAAAGTAGGCGGCGTTGCATGATCATTCCTCTTAACTCCAGTTGGTACCCTTGCAGCAGCTGAGTTAACTACTAAAGATTGTTTTCCCTCGACCTTTAGAGTGCTCTTTCCGAATCTATGACCTTCAGGCTTATTTCTTTTAGGCTCTTGCATAGGTAATAATGAACTTTCAGACGCCGCGATGCTAAGTTCCATATCATGTGCACGAGTAGCCAATTCTTCAAAAGACTTTGGTTTGATGCCTTGTAGAATATAACGTAGTCCCCAATGTATCCCTTGAATACACATGTCTAGCACAGAAGTTTCGGTGAGCTGATCTCTACAGTTGAGGCTAAGGTTTCTCCACCGATGAATGTAGTCGATGACATGCTCTTCCTTCCATTGACGTGCATTAGTGAGTTCAATCATGCTAACCACGCGACGAGTGTTGTAAAAGCGGTTAAGAAACTCGCGCTCCAACTGCTCCCAAGTATCAATCGAGCCAGTCTCCAAGTTAGTGTACCATTCGAATGCATTACCTTTTAAGGAACGAACAAACTGTTTCACCATGAGATCACCATTAGTCCCGGCATTGTTGCAAGTCTCCACAAAGTGAGCTACATGTTGCCGAGGATTTCCCTTGCCATCGAATTGTTGAAACTTTGGTGGTTAGTAACTTAGAGGCATCTTTAACAGGTCGATTCTTTGGGTGTACGACTTCGCATATGAATATGAGGGTTGAATTGAGCTTTCCCCCTGGTCTATGATGGCTTCCTTGATGAGTTCTTTCAGTTGATTTATGGTGAAGATGCCATCAGTAATACCACGTACATTCTTCGCAGCTCCGGTTGCAGACTCCTCAATGACATCTAGTTGATCTGCTTGAAAAGCCTTGGTAGTCGAGGTTTGGCCTCCTTCGTTCAAGCTCTCAAGTTTGTTCATCAATTTTGCTATCTCGTGGTCTTTTGCCTTGAGTGAAGTCGAAAACCCTTCAATGAGTTTTGTCAAGTTAGCCACTTGATCCTCTAAAGATGTTGTCTCGGTCATCATCACTGACATAGTGCCAAAACTCGAAGCCTTACTTGGTGATTGACACGGAGAAGTTTCTATAGGTGAATTGTCGAAGTCGCCTTGAGTGTCGAAGAGAATTTTGCGCGCCCTACTAGACTCTTGTAGTGGAGTTGTTTGTGGCTTCATTTTCGAGGCGAGATCTGGTGCCCCTCTTGCATTTGAAGTTGATGTCAACTTGAGAGTCGGCTTAGTTTGTTCATACAACTCGACGATGGATTTTGTTTTCAGTGGCGGGGTTGAAGAATCTTCAATAGTATGTTGGTGACTTGAATTAGTGGCCTTGTTACTTTTCAAAACAACAATGGTGATCATGTTCCTCCTAGTTGCCATTGAAAGTTTGTTGAAAATTCTTTCTTGAAGGGAAAAGATGAGAGGTAAAGATGTCCCTAGTGGAGTCGCCAGAAATTTATAGACACAATTTTGAGCACCTGAAATTAAACAAGCACACGTGTACAAATATATGATTTTATTAATATATAAAGGGTACAACCTCTATGTAATATATTCTTTCAAAAGAATATGACAATCCTCTGATTCTTCCCTTGGATTTGATGTATGGTGACTTGATTTATTTGAGTAATCAAGCCAAGATTTGTGCTTTGCAAGAACGTGAATTTGGACGTGTATTGCGAAGCAAGATTTGATGATTTGATGCTTTGAGGAGTACCTTCGATTCGTCTTTAAAGTGTTGTTGAAGAACTCTTATGGAGCGTTTTGGCTTGATTCAACAGAGCTTCGTTCTTTGTAGGTTTCAAGCGTAGATGAAGGAGACTTGAGAACTCTTTGAGAGAGAGGGCTTCCTTCCTTGAAGAGAGAGAGAGAAAGCTTCCTTGCTTAAAGAGCTTGTCTTGAAGAAAATTTGTATCTCCTGGAATCCCCTTCCTTTAGGTTGAGGCCCTCTATTTATAGAGATATGTAAGGGCTCTCAGATCCTTTTCCAATGCCACATGGCATAATTTTATTGGTTAATATTTATTGACATGATCTTGTATTTATGAAAAGATATATGATAGGATCTTGAATTTATAATAAGATATCTTGAATATCTTATCCCACGTGTCAACTTTTCATTGGTCAAAAGATATATGAAGGCTCATTTATTTTCCATATCATTTATTTTAATTTTATTTTATCCTTTCTTTTAAAGAATAAAATAACACATGGTGAAATTTGATTGGTAAAAAATTTGTGTTTCTACACTTGCATGGTACGTAAGGTTTAAAATATAGAGACGAATTAAAGAATAAGTTACTCAACATTTGCATTCTTTTACTGCTTTTAAGCTTACACACACATGCGCGCGCGCGCGCACACACACATATATATATATATATGTATTCAAATTAAATGAATGAAAGAGATGAGAAAAACAATCGCTGACATTTTGAAAGCAAGGTGATGTTAGGAGTGAGAAATATAGTGTAATTAATCAGGTTAAATTTAAATTTATGTTTTAAAAATTATCAGATTAAATCTTATAAATCTTAAAGTTATTAAAGGTTTATATAATTATTAATTTTAAAATTTATAAAATTAATCGAAATACACAGAAATTAATTTAAATATTTATATTAATAATATTCATTTTAATAAGAAAAAAATTGACAAGGGAGATTAACAAATTAAGACATAAAATAATGATATGAAATTAAGAAATGCAACATGCGCGTCCAGGTCTTCTTTTTCTTCTTCTTCTTTTTAATCTTCAGCTGGGATCTTAATTACCTTTGTGCTCTTGCTTATAATGAAGATATTACCTTAGATGGATCTTTAAAAAAATATTCATAATCTCGTGCTATTTGTAGTCACTCTCTTGTCTCTTTCATCTCTTGTAAATAAATAAATTCTATGAAAAAAAAAAAGTTTTCACGTGCAAAAAATTAAATGGAGAAAGAGTCTTCAATTAATCGCTTGTAAACGAATACCCTAAACTGATATATCTGATTCCTGTTTGCAAACAGAGAGAG